TTTATCAGATCAACTGTAATATAAAAATTACACCTACATCTAGGGTGCCTGGGTGGCTCAGTCAGTTAAGTGTCCGACTCCTGGTTTCGACTCAGGTCATGATCTCAGAGTCCTGAGATCAAGCCCCTCGTTGGGCTCCTCATGGAGTCTGATTGTCCCTCTCCCTCTGCTCCTCTCCGGCACTGGCCCCCCCGCATAAATAAAAATAAAATCTTTAAAAAAAAATTACACCCACATGCTGAAAGAGAACCCTTTAGAATCACTCAAAATCAACAAAAGCCATATGATACAATATGACACTTTTTGGGGGTTAAATTTAAAACCCCCCACATGGGCGCCTGGGTGGCTCAGTCGGTTAAGCATCTGCCTTCGGCTCAGGTCATGATCTCAGGGTCCTGGGATCGAGTCCCACATCGAGCTCCCTGCTCTGGGGGGAGCCTGCTTCTCCCTCTCCCTCTGCCTGCCATTCTCCCTGCTTGTGCTCGCTCTCTGTCAAATAAATAAATAAAATCTTTTAAAAAATAAAAATAAAACCCACCACAGGAACACCACAAACACAAAAAGCAATTAATAAGATAAACTGAGAGGACACAAAGTTACAAATGTACCAAGTCATCTTTGTTTCCTCCTTTCTCTTCCCTCACCATCCCATCAGCAACATCAATCTTAACTCCAAAACAGGCACCTCCAAGTCACAGCTCTACATCAGTCTATATGACCTGTGACATATATGCCATCAGCCACCATCATTTTGCACCCAGATAACAGTGACAACTCCCTATCACTCCTGTGCTTCAAACTCCTTCCATGGCACCCACTGCACTTTAAATAAAATCCAGTTTCCTTATCTTGACCATTACATCTCCTAACTCTTCTCATAGAATCCCTTTATTTAAGTACCACACTCCCAACCCAATGGCTATCTTCCTGACCTCAGGACTTTGTCTAAGCTCTTCCCTATGACTGGAAGGCTCTTCCCCCCATTCTTAGCCCAGGCCTTCCCAAGGCTTGCCTCTTCCCTACCCTTGGGTAGCTTCATGCTTTCCCTGACCACACTACATCAGGTAGGTCCCTATTATACTCTCTCTGCTCAGCTTCATTTCCTTCATAGCATTTATTAATCCTGTATTTTATTTATTTTCCTACTTTTAGTTTGTCTCTTTCAATAAAATAGAAGTTCTATTATGGAGAAAGTACGTCTGCCACCATTGTTCTCAGTCCCCATCACTGGGATATAACTCTTGTGAATATTTGAATAAAAATATAAAACTAGGGATGCCGGGGTGACTCAGTCGGTTAAGTGTCTGCCTTTGGCTTGGGTCATGATCCCAGGGTCTGGGGACAGAGTCCCACACTGGGCTCCCTGCTCAGCGGGGAGTCTGCCTCTCCCCCAGCTCATGCTCTCTCTTCCTGTTCTCGCTCTCAAATAAATAAATCTTTTAAAAAAATATAAATGTTGAGGAACATTCCAATAAAAAAGATCAGACTAGAAAACAAGCACCAGTCCTTAAATTCTGAGGAAGTCATAGTTATAATTTTTCACTAAGCAAAATTAAAAAAACACGAACTTTTAGCTAAAGGGCACGAAACTCTGGCCTTAAGAGCTCAGTTTTGATGCCTAAACCACTTAATATATCTTGTTTGGGGTGTGAAGAGGCACTAAACTGACTTGCATTTGACCAAGGCTTTACAGGGTACCTCTAGTTTTCTACAAAGGCTGAAAACATATCAAACCAATCTTTGAATTTCAGGCTCAGGGGAGAAAATCCAAAGATTAAGAAAGTAAATCCAGTCTGTTTCTAATTCAACCAGAATTGTGATCGTCCTCCGAGATACCAACAGAAAATAAAAACCTAAATTACAACATGCCTGGGGCAGAGAGTGAAGAGGAGGAGAAACAATTACAGCTTCGTGTAAGTGGGAGGTCAGGGAAAGGCCCTATTATGTGAGGGGCCTGGAACAGCAGTTACAATTTCAACAGGTGAGGATGGGGGGGGGGCGGGTTTAAGCAGTCAACCTAGAGCCAGCAGCCCAGCCAACAGCTGGAGCAAAGGTACAAAGGTGTGAGAAAGTAGGCAGGGATGGCTACCAGGGATTAAATGAGCTGCCTAGCGGGACTGCACTAAAGGAAGAACAAGGTGGGGAGTGGGGGGAGGATAGGCATCCAAAACAGAAAGTTATGTCTGGTATCTGGAAAGACACATGTATGAAAAATGTGGAGTTGTTTTTGTTGGTAATGGGAAGCTACTGCAGAATATTCCTTTTTCTCTCTCTAGAAGGAGATCAAACCATTTACTAACATTTTCTGAAACAGCTGTTATTATAATACCTGTCACATCAAAGCAAGCACAATGCCTTGTACACGGTATGACTTAATAAATGCCTGAAATTAATGATATTAATTCACCTCCACGAGTTGGAGAAGTAATTCACTTAAACATACTAAAAATCTCATTATAGTTGGTTCTAATATTTTCTCCAACCCCTTGTATCAGAATATACTGTGCTCAAAACTGACTCCCAACTACCAGCATCTTTGGGGACCTGGAGATTTCACTAATCAGATTCTTGGTGCCTAGATCTTTGTTATACACTATTTGATTTATAATCACTTTCTCCCAGTTTTTAAAGTCCATTTAGTTCAGCAGTTAATCTTACAGTCATTATACTGTCATGGCTTTGTTTCTTCTCTCTTATTCCATGGAAGCAACACTTACGCATCCAGTGGGTGCTCCTTAATTATTATAGCTTTTAATGGTTAAAACTCAGAGGAACATCTCAGCAAATCTATAAAATCAGAAACACCTCATTCCAAAAATGAGCACCCTATCCTTTTAAAACAGAAGTTCAAGAAGCAAAATGGGCAGTAAAATACTTTTCATTTAAAAAAATTCCAGGCAATTTCTTCAGTTCAAATTTGGCATAATTTAAATAAAAGAAACGTGATAAAACACTGAAGACAAATTAAAGCAAATAATCGAATAAAATAATGCATTTTACTTGGAAAACAGGATGCTGGATGCTTAACTTCACTAAATTATTAAAACTTACAGATGTACAAAATGTACATCTAAAATTAAACGACAATAGAATTAAAGTGTAGCTCAAAAATTTCCTTTAGTAATTAACATTCTAGCTTTATTCCCCCTTAGAATTTAATCAAATAGATTTCTGGCCTATTAGTGGTCCAGCCTGGGGGTTAACTATAATATAAAAACTCAAAAATATGTCCTCGCTGAAGCCAATGCATCTTCTTTTAAAATTTCTGTAATTATAAAACAAAAGGTGTCTGGTGTAATTCAAACTTGGCACCAAGGTATCAATATATAGTTCTGTTAAAGGTTTTGTATCTAAACGTGCAAGCATTTTCACTTGTCGGCTGTTAGTTCCAAAAGGCTGCAGTCCAAGAGTTCTTAAACTGGACCAGGGAGCCCAAGAACCTTGAATGGTGTGTAAAGTTGTGTGTACGTGCATTTTTAGGGAGGGGGAAATGCCATGGCTTCCTTGAGATTCTCAAAGAAGTCTGTGGTCCAAAAAAGGTTTAAAAACAACAAAAACTCTTCTTTAGTAGAATAACCCAAATAGATAACGTGACGAAAGGCAAAAAGCGGGCATTTTAACTATGAACCGCCGTTAAACATGTTTAAAACGCATCCCCTCATCCAGTGACCCAGATCCTGACACTAGCCTTCCGTTCAGAAGCCTTCTGGAAAAGAATTTGGTTCAGAATGGGGTGAAAGGGTTCAATTACACACCTCCACCCCCCACTCTTCGACCGATCCCAAGCGAACCACCCCTGCCATTCTCGACCCTCCTCCGCGGTAGGAGTGGGCTGTGCGCCCGGGCAGCGCGGGCGCTCGCGTACCTGGGCGCGGGCTCGATTAGGGTGGTGGTGTCCAGGTAGTGAATCTTGTAGAACTCCAGCAGAGCCGGCAAGTGGTCAAACTCCTGGTCCCCGATCTTAAAACGGCGGTTGGGCAGCGAGTTGATGATGTAGTGGGAGACCCGCGAGTTCTCGGACACAGACAGCACATAATCCCCGGGGCAGGTGGAGGAATCGCGAACTAGGAACATACCGTGGCGCTGGCCCTGGAGCCGGGTCTGCGCCTCCTGGCGAGACACCGGCCCCATGTACCATGCGGAGCGGTCTGAGGAGTCGAACCTGGCGGAGGACATCGTGTCGGACCGGGGCTCTGCGGCGGGTCGGGGCGGCGGCTGCTCTCGTCTGTTCTGGACGCCTTTGCCCGACAGACGGTTTTGCGGCCAAGGAAGGGCCTCTTGGCACACCTCGAGGCGCGCTTAGAGGGCCGAGCCAGCACCTTCCTCTCGGCTCCGGGCCCGCAGCATCCTCCGCCGCCGCCCGCCTGCTCCGGGGCCGCCTCACGGAGGGAGCCGACCCGGGGAATGCAGGGCACAGCCCGAGGTCGGGGCGGGAGAAGCCGAGCCGCAGCGGAGGCCGCCCCGGGGTTCTCGGGCTGCCCGGCGTACCGGGGGTGCTTCCAGTCACTCCTGGCCCGGAACGCGCCGACTCCGCGCCCCCCACGGCTCTGCAAGGACCCCCGCCGCCACACGAAGCACCGGACTCCCAAGAGCGTCGCGCCTCCGGGGCGGTTTTGCCCAGCCCGTTCCCAACAGCCACAGCAACAAAATGGCGGACGCGGGAGAAGCTGCTGGCCACCTCCCCCCTCCGCTCAGCGCGCTCGATCTGCGCACGCGCGGGCTCTAGCGCCCAGCTGCCGCCCGGGCCCTCCCCGTGACGTCACGCGGCGCGGCCAATCAGGAGCACGGTCGTGACGGTCTGGGCGTGCGCCGCTTTCGGCCGCTCCCGCGTTCCGGGAGGAGGCGGAGGAG